AAGTAATCATATTTCCCATTCACCAGAGTCCCAAAGAAAAAAGTGTTCGACTTTTATGTCGTTTTACTATTGCAGAGTTTTCCCTGTATTGGCTTCGAAAAATTGAGCATTATATTGACTAGGAATATTTTGGTTAAAAAAAAAAAAAAAGCACATAATGCAGAGGACAAAATGAATGGTTCTTACACACAGGATCAAATGTCTGAGACCAAGAGTGAGTGTATTATTTTATTTGAAGTATAGCAGTTTTTTTTTTTTTTTCATTTTTTATAATGCAATGTTAGATATGATGAGCGAAATAACTAACAAATTGAAAGTGAGGTTGACACAAAATTTAAGCATCAGGTCTGATCTCTGTCCCAGGCTCGCCGCTCTAGCTCTAAGATGAAAATGCACATTTCTATTGCGTGAAACATACTACCTCCGGTCCTAATTATAAGACCCAGTTGACTTATTTGAGGAGATTAAGGAAGCAAGTTGAGTTAGTTATTTGTCCTGAATAAGTGTTGTCTTTCCTAAAATATCCTTACTAATCAAGTGATTGACTAGAACTATCATTGTTAGAATGGCTATTTTGGAAAAAAATGTATAAATATGAGAGACAAAGTGGATTGGGGTCTTATAATTAGGACCAAACAAAAAGTTAAACGGGGTCTTATATTAAGGACCGGAGGTAGTATCTTTTTATTCTTTCAAAAGTTTATCTTCATTTTGGTGGGGGCTACATGAAACTTGTGGTTTTGTTTAGTATAGAGCTCAACGCAGAATTATGATTAAAGCGCATTTCCAAATTACGAACCTTTTTCTGTCTAAAGGAAACTGAACTTATAGGATTCACATGGCGCGTCTGGTTGCGAAAAAGAAATAGAAAAAAGCGTGTGGACCTGCACTTGTTTTTATTCACTTCGATTATAATTCAAATCACTTTGTACTCCATTAACATTAAGCCAGATAAATCTACTTAATTCACTCAATTATCGGACATCTTTAAAACAGAGCATCTAATGTATTCTCGACATGGATTCATCCAAACGTCCGATCCTTCCATGCACGTCGAAGTGAGTGTTGTGTTGTTCTGAGCTTGATAACGTTCAAATGATCGATGTCTAACTCCTTCATCATCATCGTCAACCAAACGTTATGAACTGTAAATATCAAAGTATGAGTTCACATTCTGAAAATCACTTGACAAGGTGCGGATAGATGCTCAAGAGATCGATGATGATTCTTTATTGATGATGGAAGTGGAATAATGCAGAAGGCCCGTGAAAGAGAAAGGACGAAATGGGAAGCCAAAGAAAGAGCGATTGAAACAGTGTATAGTAAATGTTACAGAACCTCAGAAGTCAGAAGTAGGAGACATGAGAAAAATATATGGCACACGAGCTTGAGGGGTTTCGATCACTCTTGCACGCTGTACATTAATACAGTATTTTTTTCCTTACCAATTCAAGACTTTGGCCTTGGTGTTTTATATTAGTTTCTGTTCTTAATATAAAAACTAATTAATTAATTTGAATAAATTAAAAAAATTAGTTAAGTTAGTTATTCGTAATAAATAAATATTGTCTTTCTTAAAATATCTTTACTAATCAAGTGTATTAGCTAGAATTACTATTATTACAAAGACTACCTTGAGGGAAAAAAAAGATAAATATAAAAGATAAAATGGATTGGAATTTTATATTTAGAACTAAAATAAAAATCAAACGAGTTCTTATATTAAGCACTAGAGATGGTATATAATTATATATATATATATGGCTTGGGATGCACGTGTTAATTTGCTCTTAATGAAAACTAAAATATGAGAAAATTGATGGAAGTGGTATCCTCCGATCCAAAGGAGACTTGTCTTTTTGGTTGAAACTTCTTTTGATACTTTTCTTCATATCCTTCTGGATTGTACCAAAGTTAAAAAAACTTGGATTAAATTAGTTAAACAGTACTCCAATCTCTCTTCCCCTCCGCATGCACGCGTTTACTCTTGTTGAAAAATAATTAGTGTGTTTTGATGTTAGAATTTGTGCATTATTATTGCGGGTTCAGGTATACATTGATATTATTATTACAGGATATCATCACTAAAATTCTTCCATGGCCTCTCTTATTTTTAAAATTTTTCTCCATGGAATTGTTTTCCCCACAACCAAATTAAAGTTTTTAATTTAAAATTTTCATAAAAGTACCTTTTAAATGTCACTGTATTTATTGTTGTTAAGCGCGAGGTTTTTCATGATATTAGTAAGTGCCTTCGCTCTTGTTTTTGCTGAGTATAGTGGTAAGGATTCAATGGAACCTTTTGGTAAAGTTTATATATATGCTTTTAATTAATCTGTCCATTACTGTTATCATATCTATTGTTAATATATAGTAAAACTATAAGGTTATTAATTGATTAATTTCGATCTCTTGGTGCATGGATCTCTCTCTCTCTCTCTCTAATTGTAGACAAGAATTAATTAGAGCTTTCTAAAATTTTCAGATAATGCCTATGATTAGAAGAATTTTAAAGGAGTGTTAGTTAGGGGCTTACCCAATGAGTGTGAATTGGTTTTTAATTGGAGTAAAACTCCAGGGAATCTGCAATTACATAAAAACAGAGAACTCATGTGATGTATTAAAAAACATTTCGTACGAATAATTCCTTTTTTTTTAAAACTTAATTTATAACACAGACGTGTCCCCTATTCAACCTGGCATGGCTTCAGAGTAAAGCGCCCAGCAACTTTGTTGTCTTTTTCTTAGCGGAGATTAACTGAGATGATAGGAGACTTCATACCGCATCGAAAACAAAATGTTTAAAATATAACATTAGTAACTAGATAATTAATTTATAAAAATTAAATAATAAATAGTCAAATCAATTATTTGTAATAAATATGTGTTAGTTTTTTTTTACAACATCATTTTAATTATTTGTATTGAAAATTATCTTCATTGATAAAGACTCCTTTGGTTAGTTTAGCCCAAAAAAAAAACCCTTTAGTTAATCTATGAGATCAATAGAGTTGTTTAGAAAATAATTGTTAATTTGTGAGATAAAATAGGTTGATATCTTATATTTAAGATCAAAATAAATCTTGATTAACTAGGTTTTACATTTATGACCAGATGAAATAAATAAAAAGAGAAGGGTGGATTAACTAATTATTAGTCAGAAACTGAGTGGTGAATTTATTGATAATTAAATTGGAGATGTTGATCAATTTCTATTTTTGTTGCGCATGTTCCTAATTAAAACAATTTCTATGACAAGTCTGAAAGGTTTTCATTCTCTCCAACTCCCCCACTGACTTCTTATTTGTCCTCATTCAACTTCAAGGTTTTAACCATTTGTTCAATTATAGGATACGTGAGGGCATTATATATATATATATATATATATATATATGCATCTTCATGTATACAAATTGACTAAAGAGAAAAAGCAAAAAGCAATTAGGGGTCCAATTAATAAAGTGTCATTTGCACATAATTTTCAATAAAGTTGGCTTCTTGACGTGTTTAAGAATGAAATCCGAAGCATGATCGATTTCTATTAAAGGGCAATTGATATATATATATATATATATATATATATATATATAAATTAGGAACATGGAGTCTTTGGGGGACAAAGTAAATTTCAGTGAGGTCAATGTTACCATGAAACACAAGATTGCCTCATTATTAAGTGTGTGCTGACGTATTTCACATATATGAATCTTTTCTTTTTATTTTTCTTTACTTGTGATTGTTGATTATTGTCTTCATATATATGACTATAAATTTATGCACATTATTTCTTGTTGGCTTCTTATCTGTGAATGTGTCCACCCAACTGAGCGCAAAAATTGTTAATTTTTTTTAAGCTATCCGGATTTATTTTGTTTGCATGATTTTTGAGCTTATTATGAGCACCTCATTTTTATCACTACTGATCTTTTCCTACGTCGTTGTTTCAAGAGTTGTACTTCTATATCATCACTTCAAATCAAAAGTTCGTGCAAATTTAATTAGATATAGATTTGACTCTCTTGTAAGGAGGTCGAAATTAATTAATTTTTTATTAACAATTTACATTCATAATTTCGTACTTTTCCCGGAAGCATATACTTTTCTGGTCTTTAATATAGGACTCAATTATTGAGTTAGTTTTGATTTTAAATATAAGATCTATTTCTCATATTTATCAATTTTCTCTAAATTACCACTATGAATACTCATTCAACCATAATTAAGTAGAAGAGGAAGATGGGGTATTAAGAAAGATGATTATAGTACTTTAGGAAAAACGTGTCATATTTTTTATAATTAAGTAACTTATCTAATTTTTTTAATCTAATCAAATTAGTTAAATGGATTTTATATTAAGAACCGGAGGAATAGTAGATATAGATTTTTCATCTCATTGATAACAGTTATTTAGCACCTACGGTATATTTTCTTCCTAATTCTAAGAATGAATATAGAGGCCATCCTAGCTCAACATATCGAATGAAAAGCAGCATCAACTTGTTTACGTGGAAGTATTTTAAAGGCTATTTAAATTAGAACATTAATTATAAAAGTAAAAATAGGTGTTGGTCTTGGTGAAAAAATGTATCATGCCAAAAAAATTGACTGGATGACATATCAGATTTTATATCAATAATTAAATCCATGGAATCCATAGAAGACATACTTATATTTATTAAGGATACAAAAATAATAAATATTAGAGATATATTTGATCAATTCTGGTAAAAAAAAAAAGATATATATTTGAGCAATAGAAATTTTTTTTATATAAAATTAGAAATAACTGAAAATTTTATTTTAATGGGTATGGAAAGCAAGCTTATTTACCGGGGAAAAAAGTAGCACTAACGCATTCCCGATTCCACCCTTGACCATTTTGTATATTTACCTCTCACTGGCCACGCTCTTTGCTCCGTAGCCACCCTGGCTCGAAATTGGCCTCTATATATACCCCTCCCTCGCATTCCCTCCTCCTTCCCTCCTCCTCACACCCTACCCATTTCTTCTCCCCTCAAACTCTCTCTCTCTGAAACTCTCTCTCACGCCACCATGCCTGAGGATCCTTCAGACTCCAACCTCTCTGAGCTAAACAAAAAAGCTCTTCAGTTCATTGAGGATGTCACCTCCAACGCCGATCTAATCCAGAACAAGGTCCTCACCCAAATTCTCTCCCATAATGCCAATGTCGAGTACTTGCAGAGACACGGCCTCGATGGCCGTACCGACCGCCAAACTTTCAAGAAACTTGTTCCCGTCATCACCTACGACCATATCCAATCCGACGTCAACCGCATCGCCAATGGCGACACCTCTCCTATCCTTTCCTCCCATCCCATTTCTGAGTTCCTCACCAGGTTCTCGTCTGCTTTATTCTCTTATTGTTCAATCGAAAGTGTGTGTATGTGTTAAACATGACTTTTCTCTGTCTCGTATGTAAGATTAATGGGTTTTGGTTTTTGCAGCTCTGGGACGTCTGGAGGAGAGAGAAAGCTGATGCCTACGGTTGAAGAAGAAGGAGAAAGAAGGAGTTCGCTTTATAGCCTGTTGATGCCTGTGATGAGCCAGTTTGTGCCTGGCCTGGAAAAAGGCAAAGGAATGTACTTGTACTTCATAAAATCTGAGGCCAAAACTCCCGGAGGCCTCTTGGCTCGTCCGGTTCTCACTAGTTATTACAAAAGCTCTCATTTTAAGAATAGATCACTTACCGATCCCTACGCTAATTATACCAGTCCGATTGAGACCATCCTTTGTCCTGATTCTTACCAAAGCATGTACTCCCAATTGCTCTTCGGTCTCTGCCAAAACGATGTCGTCCTTCGGGTTGGTGCTGTTTTCGCGTCTGGCTTCATTCGGGGAATTCGTTTCCTCGAGAAACACTGGGCCCTTCTTTGCCATGACATTAGAACAGGAACACTTAACCCCCAGATCACAGACATTAGCGTGCGAGATTCTGTCATGAAGATCCTGAAACCCGACCAGAATCTCGCCGATTTTATCCAGTCTGAGTGTAGCAAAAATTGTTGGCAGGGGATCATCCCCAGGTTGTGGCCCAACACTAAGTATGTCGATGTTATTGTGACAGGGACAATGTCACAGTACATTCCCACACTGGATTACTACACCAATGGCCTCCCACTTGTGTGCACCATGTACGCTTCCAGCGAGTGCTACTTCGGACTCAATCTCAACCCTCTTTGCAAACCCAGTGAGGTCTCTTACACCCTCATCCCAACCATGGCCTACTTCGAATTCCTTCCTGTTAACAGAAGCGATGGACTCACCGATTCTCTTCCTCACCCCACGTCTCACGATGAACAAGAGTTAGTGGATCTCGTCGATGTTAAGCTTGGCCAAGAATATGAGCTCGTCGTCACAACCTTCGCCGGTCAGATGTATACTCTGAATCTTTTTGCTCACAAATATTGAAACTTTTTAGCCATACTGATGATAAGTACACATGTGTGATTGGAAATTTCAGGGTTATATAGGTACAAAGTGGGAGACGTGCTGAGAGTGGCTGGATTCAAGAACAAGGCACCCCAGTTCAACTTCATATGCAGGAAGAACGTGGTTCTGAGCATTGATTCCGATAAAACAGATGAAGTTGAGCTTCAGTACGCAATGAAGAATGCTGTGACCCATTTGGCTCCGTTTGAAGCTGCCTTGGCTGAGTACACTAGCTACGCAGATACAAAGACAATCCCAGGGCACTATGTCTTGTACTGGGAGCTCAACCTCAATGGGACAACTCCGATTCCCGCGTCTGTGTACGAGGATTGCTGTTTGACCATTGAAGAATCGCTCAACAGTGTGTACCGTCAAGGACGTGTGTCGGACAAATCAATTGGGCCACTTGAGGTTAAGATTGTGGAACAGGGGACGTTTGATAAACTCATGGACTATGCCATTAGCTTAGGAGCATCCATCAACCAGTACAAAACTCCGAGGTGTGTCAAATTTGCACCTGTTGTGGAGCTGTTGAACTCGAGGGTAGTGGCAAGCTACTTTAGCCCCAAATGTCCGAAGTGGGTTCCGGGACACAAGCTATGGATCAATCAGAATTGAGGATGTAAACAAGCCTATCCGATCTGTTCTTGTAATGGGAAAAGTTGATGACTTTTTTCTTTCATTCCATGTTAAAAGACGTCTTTAGCCCGCACTTTTTTTTTTCTTTTTTTCTTTTTTAATCTTCTTCTTCAAGCTTTAGTGTTTGTGTTACATTTGCATTGTCCAGAACTTAGCCATTGTAAATAGCAGCAAGTTATTGACTTTTACGTTGTTGCAGTTATCGTCATAACGTTTCGTTAGAATTGAATTCTTAATTCCAGCCAGAAATTGTGCTCACTGAAGTGTCATGGGGCTTATCCTATCACGGCAACAACGAGAAAGCCATCATTCCTGAACTCTTCTTTTGTTTTCTGTAGTTTCAGGAAAAAGGCTTGCCAAGTTTTTTTTCCATCTCACTAATTAAGTGTTCAAATTGCATATCACACAATATTTTGTTTTTTTTCTTTATTTAAAAGGAACAAGAAGAAGAATAATCAGTGTTCAGTGGGTGATTTACTTGCAGAATAGGGCTATTTCATAAACAGCTTTTGCAGCTTGATTAAGACTGGTCTAAAGGGGTTTTGTCGGTATCTGAACACAGAATGAGTAGAATTTACATTAAAAAAATGCTGATAAACTCAGTCCTGGAGATGGTGGAGGGTGCAATAGTCTGATTCCAGATTCTCTCTCTGCGTCAATTTTAATATGTTGGTCGTGTCAGATTCTGTCACTAACTCGAGGAACAAAAATTCAAGTGTGGGCATGAAATGAACAGGGGACTGATGAATAGCCTTAAGAATGAAATTAAAAAAAAAAAAAATCAAGTGGTGGTGACGAAATTGAAAGTGTTGCTCTTTACAGTCACCACATAAAACCAAAACGTAAGACAAGCCCATGAGGCCAGGAAACTCGCCGGGAAATAGCAGGACCAGTCGAGGGAGAATCATAATTCAGATAGATTAATAAATACATGAACTGTATGAGTCAAAGGGAGCCGGAAAATGAACACGTACTTGAAGGTTAGGGACAGAATAGCGGAAGCAAATATAAATTATTGGAAGAGCACAAGACAAAGAGATGCAGAAGGAAGATGAAGACAAAAGCTAGTATATAGACAAGTGAGAAGGGGTGCTTAGCTCAGAGATAAAACTTGAAAGGGCAGAAGTTAATAGAAAGAGATAAGGAAGATGGTAAAGATAATGGAATATATGGTTGCTGCAGAGACAAAACTGGGGAGGCCTTGTTGTCGTGTTTGAGTTTCCAATTTCGTGCTTGTTCATGCACATATAAGATCCCACCAATTCATCTTTCCTCATAATCATGCTCTGAACTCCATCCGTACGTGCAAGCATCCCTCTTTGTAACTTTGTTTTCGTAAAGTGTGTGTGTGTGTGAGAGAGAGAGAGAGAGACGTGTGCAAGATTACTGTGTACACATCTCTCTCTCCAGTCTCCCCCCCGGGCCAATCCTTCTCCACAATCCATACATACAAAAGAAAGTAATCTGTTTGATTTAGATCTAAGCTTTTTATGCTAACTACTTGACGGAGGTGTTAATTACCTTTCTAAACATGCGATGCAAAGTCACACGCATGTTAACATGTTAATATACGTCTGATGTTATTGAGGATGTTGTGAATAAATGTTTGTATTGCGTTCCGTAACTTTTTCAAAATTATATCGTAATTAACTTCATCTTGGCAGGCCAAAAAAGAAAAAACTTTATCTTCAAAAAGGAATGGTGCTATTAGATCACGTGCAAACCCACCTACAGAGCACATAAAAAAAAAAGGAATGGTGCTATTAGATCCAAAGGCTTTTAGCTTCCTCCCTCCATGTTAATTGCAGGCTCATAAAGAGACAAGTTTGAAAAACAAAAAATAAAAGCAGCCAAAATTTTTCAAAATATTATATTTAACAACTCAAAATCTTTTTAAAATATGCCTTGTCTCTCTCTCTCTCTATATGGATGGAGTACTTAAGAGTTAAGGTTTCAACCAATTCTTTAATTCGCATATCACATAGAAGGTAAAGAATATTTTTTTCTCTACCTACTATCGTCTTTTAATCATATGTAATGGTTTTATTTAATTTAACGTGGCTAATGGTTATACTACCTCCGGTCCTTAATATAAGACCCTGTTTGATTTTTATTTTGGTTCTAAATATAAGACCTCAATCTACTATGTCTCTCATATTTATGTATTTTTTCCAATGTAGTCCTTCTAATAATTGTAATTCTAACCAATATAGTTGATTAGTAAGGATATTTTAGGAAAGACAACACCTATTTATTACAAATAACTAACTTAACTTCTTTCCTTAATTTCCTCAAATTAGTCAACTGGGTCTCATAATTAGGACCGGAGGTAGTATATAATTGAAGGTTGATTTGTATTGGGAGAGCACATGATAAAATGAAATCAACATGAAGGTATCATCAATAGTCTTACAATGGGGGAATAGTAGGAACTTGGTGTTCATAATAGAATCAATTCCGCTATTTTTTTTTGGGGGGGGGGGGGGGGGACGCAGTGCCAAGCATGTGCGGCGTTACGAGAAAGCGTTGACTAGACGTCCAAATAATGAAGGGGTCCATCTCTCCTCCAAGAGCGTCTCTTTCTTTCATGTTGAGGGGCAGGGGAACCCACCGGTGGAAGGAAAGGGAGGCAGGGGGTGGGACCCACCATCCTTCAATCACACCACGGAGTGCCACGTGCCACTGTCCCTCCATTTTTCTGGGCTTTCTCTGCTCGCCTTTGCCTCCCTCCAGATCTGTACCATACTCATTTCGACAATTATTTGGCCTCAATCATCATATACCATTAAATTTGTTTCCATCATTAATCTTTTTGTTACGTCGTCGTCCTTCCCCACCTCCATCTTCATCGACAATATCCACTAACTCACCTCCATAATCAAGGGTAGATTAATTATTATGAATTCCTCTAAAGAGAATTACAAACCAAAAATAAATAAAGAGAATGTATGCTCAATAATATTACAGGGAGGAACTATATACTCTTCTGATCCTAAATATAAGACTCTTGCACACACTAGTATAAGGTTCTTATATTTAGGACCGGATGAGTATTAATTAACAGCTTATTGATAGAAAATGTTATCAACTTCACTTAATGAACCAAGCTGCTTGTTGTTTGTATAAAATGATATATAATAATCCTCTTTGTCCTTAATATAAAACCCCCTTTATAATATAAATTATACTATATAAAGTAGATTTTATATTAACTGTCGGAGGAGTATTACATATTGGGTTAGATTATTATTATACACATAAGTTTCTCTCAATATATACATGACACTAAATTCATGCCAGCTTTTAATCATAGAGCTAGTAAATCAGGTACTGTATTCTACTTGCCTTCATCAATCTCAATATGGGCTAAGTCGATTAATTCAAGCGTCCAAAATTTTTGAATTTTTTGAATATTTTTTTCTCATACAAAAAATATTACATTTTATCTATAATTTAAACCAATTAAAAATAACATATAGCAATTAAGAAAATGTATAATATGTCAAGTCCTAATTAAGCATATCAATCAAATGCGATGGCTTTACACACACACACACAGAGTTGATGACAATGCTTCAACTTATTCAAAAGAAATGCCTTTAATATGAAACAAGGTGTTAAATCTGATACGTGGATGTGCAGTAATTTAAAATCAAATCCCACTGTTAAGGATAACGCAGTGTAAGGATCTAGGAATACATATGGCTCTCAGCTTAATTTAAAGCGGAAAAAACAAATAAAGAAGAGAGGAAATTGACATCTATTACTGTGGCTTTGATCCTAGCTAGTAGCTACTACTACTAATTGATAAGAAATGTCCTCTTTAATATCCGTTTTGATCAGCCCCGAGTTGGGGTTATTACAAAAAAGAGCGAACAAAGAAATGGTGTAGGATTAACGAAGTTGGCAACCTAACCTAATCTTGGAGTTTTCATAGCCTCTTGTATTTTCTTTCATAAAGTCTTAAGAGGATCGAACGGCATGAATGAACATCACATTCTTTAATAAAAAAATAAAATAAAATAAAATAAAGAAAGCCAAATGCAATGAACGTTAAAAAAGGACGAAGAAAGTTGTTGTCTAACTAAACTCCTCAAAAGATATATGACGCACTCTATCCAAAAGTTAATTATAATACTACCTCCGGTCCTTAATATAAGACCCCGTTTGACTTTTTATTTGGTCCTAATTATAAGACCCCAATCCATTTTGTCTCTCATATTTATGTATTTTTTTTCCAAAATAGTCCCTTTAATAATGATAGTTCTAGCCAATACACTTAATTAGCAAGGATATTTTAGGAATGACAACACTTATTTATTACAAATAACTAACTTAACTTACTTCCTTAATCTCCTCAAATAAGTCAACTGGATCTTATAATTAGGACCGGAGGTAGTAACATTTATCCGGATAATATATTGAAATCCTCGACTCCAATAACTAGTTTTTGAGGTCTGATCTTTTCAAAATTTTGTGCTGGTTACAATGATACTTTCATTAAAAGTTAGTCAACTGATAGAACAGAGATATTTGTGTACGGTTCTAACACGATGAAGGGTTGTATTGTTATGAGTCCTGAATAAAGAGAGCAGCCCTTTGAGTAAGAGGTATTATATAAGACCTTAGGTTTCCGATTTCAATAGTTAGCTTGCAGGATGTTATTTTCTTAAGGACGTGTACTCGTTATGACTTCACACACAGTGAACGCACAATCACTTTTGGTGCAAAGCAAGAAAAAAGTAGATGGCAATTAAAGGGTTTTGGTTGAGTGCATCTAGATTCCATTTGCGGAAATACCTGGATTGTCCACATGAAAATGAAGTATAGAAACAAGTGAATATATGGAGATAATTGAGAGCTCTAATATAATAAACGTCAGCATTTTCTTTTTCATCAATATAGTGAATGAATGAAATGAATTGAATTTTTAAAAAAAGGAGAGGAAGGTGAGAAAAGCAAAAGGAGTGGATTGTGAATGGGTAGGAGAAAAGGAAAAAGGATGACGATGATTGAAGGGAACACAGTTGAGCTTACTTTTCTGTGCTGAGGAAGGAGGCAACAATGACAAAGATTGAATTAAACTAAGCGATATGTTTATATTTGATGATGTAAACAACACGAGCGTCCATTTCACATGAGATTAATTAGCCCACTGCCTGCCTACAATAATTAACCCACGCCAT